AGGGCTTCACTGCACCAAGCCTAAATCCTACGGCTAAGGTCTGGATCACTCTGAGCCTCCATTTCCTCGTGGATTAGCATCTGCCCCACCTCAGAGGGCCATGAAGATTAACTGGGATGGCGAAGAGGTTTGCAAAGTTCCAAGCACCGGTGAACTCTCCACTTCCACAACTGGCGTCACCATCCAACCAATTAAGCTAGAAATCTCAGAACCAGCCCCAGCTCCTCCCTCTCCACCCAACTCCTTCTCTCCCCAGCCTATCACTGAAATCCTCCAAGTCTACTGCCCCCAAATCTCCTGACTCTGTCCTCGGAGCTCCGTTCTCACGCAACCTCCTTGGACCAAGTTGGACCAAGCCACCACCCTCCCTCTCTCACCTGAGGTCCCTTCTTGGTCCTGCTCTCACTCCTACCCCAGACTCCAGCTTCCTCCAGCAGCAAGAGGAGTATCTGAGAAACATGAATCTGATAATGTCACTCCTTTGCTTAAAACTCTTTAGTGACTTTCAAAATTCCTTCAAATAACCGAGAAAGCCCCAAACACACACCAGCCACCTGTCAGAATGCAGTCTGCCCCCTTCCTGCCTCAGGACCTTTGTACATACGATCCCTGCTACCTGGAACAGCCCTCGCCCATTCTTGACCTGATTAATCCCAACTCATCCTGAAGTCCTCACTTCAATGCCCTTTTCTCAGGAATGCTTTCCCTTTCACTTATACCAATATATACACCCACTATATGCTGGAAGGCATTGCCCAGGTCCTGAGAGTACAACTGTGAAAAAGACAGACATAATCCCTGCCCTCACAAAGGTTATATTCACGCTAGAGGTGTGGCTTGGTGGTAGGACATTCATCCAGTGTGCCCAAGGTCCTGGGTTCAATCCCCAGGACACCACCCACAGATTATATCCTAGTGGGGTAGAAAGATAATAACTGATTAAATAGACATTATTTTCAGACAGTGGCATTGAAAGCATCTGATGGAAAGGATTCATTTTATTATTAAAAGAGGCAAATCATTACAAAAAGTAATGCATATTTTTAACTAAGAAAATTAGGTTTCCACAGTATATCAAAAACATGCGTTTCTACTAGCAACTGTTGAAACTTAGTTCTAGAATTGTGTGTGTGTGTGTGTGTGCGTGTGTAATTTTGAAGACGTGACTCTGGTGCATTCCCCTAATTAAAAAATAAAATAGAATTCAATGACACTGCTCATAGACATATACGAACACACATACCTCAAAACTGATGTGGAGAACTGGTCCTAGGTCTACACACATTTGTATACACACAAAGATATACACGTACATGCACAAAAGATGTGAAACATTCTCTCTCACTCTCTCTCTACCCCTCTGTCTCACACACACACACACACACACACACACACACATACAGAAACAAGGGCCAGGCTGTCAGCAACTCCACGCACATCCCACCCCATGCCTCCCAGGCCCCCTCCTGCCACCACCTGACCCTGCCTGCTGGAGGTACAGTGGCTGAGGGTGGCGAGTCTCCCTCCTCTCAAGACGTCATCATTCAGATGATAATCAGCAGCTGGGGTGGCAACCGAGGCCCTAAATTCTGCCCCCACTCCTAACAGTTACCCAGCAACCTAAGCCCTGGAAGAGGCTGAGGTTAAATTAAAATAAAGAGAGATCAAGGTACATTGTAATTTTGCGGTCATTCTCTACTCTGACCTCTACTCGCCCCCCAAGTCCCAAGCCCAGTATCACACTCAAAACCCTGTCCCCTCTCGGCACAGACCAGCCGCTGTCCCTACTGTCCCCAAGCGCCCACACTCCCACTGGCCCTGCCTGGCATCCACCCCTCCCCCACACGGACCCCCTCGGATCTGACACGGGCCTGCGCAACTGGAAAGTCACAGGCTCACAGGGTCTCCCCGTGCTTCGCATAACCCCCATCTTCACACTCCTACACCCACACCCCCAAACCACACTCCTACACCCACAGCCCATCCCACAGTGCATGCAGATGCAGGTCAGCCGCCAGCTTCTCGGAAGATGGGAACATCTGGGTGTGAACCCTGGTTCCCAGCCCCCTCTACACCACACAGTCCCCACGTCCACACCCCGCCCTCTCTCCCCACCGCTACCCAAGGCGTGACTCATTGCACCTACATCCAGAGCCAGCCACACAGGGCAGAGTGGTACCCCTCCCCCGGTCCCAGATCAGCCTCCGAGCCTCCCCATGGTCCACTGCCACCTGACACCACCTGCCACACTGACCAGAGCATCTAGAGAAAGGCCAAAGTCTTCAAGGACAAGGTCCCTCCTGTGTGGGGCAGGGCAAGTCATAGGACCTGAGGTGACATCACAAGACTCGGGACATTAGGAACCTGGGGAGGGCTGAGCCCTGGGCAGAGGGCATAGTTAAATGCCTGGGTCTGAGAGGGCCTGGTATCTCCCCCCAGGGCACAGCTGGCCTGGACGCAGTGACCAGTGACTGGAGGGCAGTGGGGCAGCCCTCAGAGGTATCAGCTGTTGCCGGTGGACACGGGGAGGGAATGGGGGTGTCCCTCTGTCCTCACACCAGGGCTTGCAGTGGCCACAATGCCAAGGAGCCAATCAGAGAGTCTGGAAGAAGACAAGGCCAGCACCCTTTCAGAATGCCTCTGTGTCATGTCTCGATCCCACTGGAACCGAGAGAGAACAGCTGAGGTCTCTCAGTGGCTGCAGAATGCTCTAAGCTCTGTGTTTTCGTGACTTGGGCAAAGGAATATGAGGAGAAAGAAATGGGAGAGTAGCAATGGTCCTGCCGCCCCTACCCTCATGACCTGCCACCTCCACCTGAGCCCATACCTGGAGAGGTGACCATTCACATGGACAAGGTGTGGCGAGATCTGAGGTTACAGATCTATCACTGCCGCCACCACCGGCCCAGCCCCTATCCCAGTCCAGAGCCAAGATCTGTTTCTGAAGGCTAACAATCAGCAGTTTGCCTTCCTGGAGGCCCCTTTCAGGGCTGGGGACACACAGACCCATCTGTGCAGCAGGAGACCAGAGAACAAGCCCAAAGTAGCTAGAGTTACAACAGCAGAAACTCAGGGTGGAGTGAGGAGGGACTGTCTGCTTAGCAAAATGACAATTTAATTCAAATAACAAGTCAGGACTGAGTGCTGACTGTATCTGCTGGGGCCACAGAGATGCAGGAAATGTGTTCTCTGCCCCCAAACAGTTGACACAATAATGAAGTCATAACAATAACAGCCAGCTCCAGTGCAGCATTTATGATGTGCTGAGCCCTGTTGTCAGGGTTTTACGAGTCATTTGATCCACACAACCAACCTTCTAAGCTAGATATTATTATCATGCCTATGGCAAAGACATCGGGGCATAGAAGAGTCAAGTAACTTGCCCGAGGCTGCACCGCCAGGGACCAGGTTATGAAGGTGCTCCTGCCCTCCTGCCTCCACCTCCTGCTGACAGATGATCACCTGCCCATCTCCATAGTGCCCAAGTCCTCTGTCCTCAAACTTAGGTGAAATTCACCTGTTCGCCAAACACACGCTGAGCACCTGCTCTGTTCCTGGACCTGTGCTGGAAATACAGACATCAATCAGTGAGGCTGCATCCCGGCCCCTAAGGAGCTCTCTGCCCTTCGAGTGACATTATCCAGGTAAACAGATGTCACATGAAGGGAAACAGGTCTAGAGAAGACATAGGCACAAGACACTTTGGAGCCCCAGGGGAAGGAGCCACAGGCAGCTCAAGAACTAGGGCCGTTTGTGAAAATCACCAACTCTTGCACATGGCAAGACTCCATCCACAGACAAAAAGGCAAACTGGAGAACCAGAGAAAATGCTCGCAAATTGAATATCTGATAGGGGATTGATTTCCAGAACACCCAGAGGGCTTCTAAAACTCAATAAGAAAAAGACCAAGCAACTGGATTCAAAATGAACACAGGACTCCAGTAGACATTTTTTCCAAAGAAGATAAATAAAAGGCCAAGCAGCACATGAAAAGCTCCTCAATATAATGGATCATTAGGGAAATGCAAACCAGAAACAATGAGAGTAGGATGGCTACCACCTAAAAACCAGAAAAGGAGAAGGGACGATGATGGACAGAAACTGAAACTTGTGCACAATTGGTGGGGATGTGAAAGGGCGCAGTAACTGTGGGAAACAGGAGGTCGGCTCCTAAAACCTAAACACAGAATTACCCGTGGCACGCGCCTGCCATCCCAGCGGCTCTGGAGGCTGAGGCAGGAGGATCGTGAGTTCAAAGCCAGCCTCAGCAACTTAGTGAGGTCTAAGCAACACAGTGAGACCCTGTCTCTAAATAAAATACAGAAAAGGAGTTAAGTGACCCTGGGTTCAACCCCTGATACCTAAATAAAGAAAGAAATAATTAAAAAAAAAAAAGAATTACCACATGAACCAGCAATTCTATTTACATATCTATATCTACATATATCCACATATACATATCTATTCAGAAATATAATATTATATATATATATATCCCCAAAACAATTGAAAGCAGGGTCTCAAAGAGGTATTTGTACCTACATTCACTATATCTGAAAAGTAGATAGAATGAAATGTTATTCAGCCTGAGAAAGTAAGGAGATTCTGGGGCTGGGTTGTGGCTCAGAGGTAGAGCACTCGCCTAGCACATGCAAGGCCCTGGGTTCGATCCTTAGCACCACATAAAAATAAATAAAATAAAGGTGTTGTGGTGTTATATATATATATATATACTAAAAAAAGTGTGTTTGTATATATATATATATATACACACATATATATACATATATGGATTCTGATACAGGCTACAACTCAGATAAACCTCGAGGACATTTTGCTAAGGGAAATGAGGCCATCACAAAAAGACAATTGCTGGGCAATTCCTTTTATATGAAATAATCAGTCAAAACCGGCTAGAGTCTGGGGGAGGGACAGGAGTCGGTGTTTCGTGGGCGCACAGCTTCAGTTTTGCAAGATGAAGAGTCCTGGAGTCTGATGGTAGTGAGGGTTGCACAACAATATCTGTGCGCTTTATTCCCGTGGAACTGTACCCTTAAAGATGGGTGAGATAGCAAATTTTGTTATGGTATTTTCCCACAATCAAAAGACTTTCGAGAAGAAGGCAAAGCCAGCCTCAGAGGGGAAAGCTCCCCAGGTCAGGGACAGACAGAGGCATGGAGAAGGCGCCCCAGGCAAAAGCTGAACGTGTGTGAGGCACAGCTGGCCTCGGCCACCAAGTCTGGCTTTGGATGTATCACCTCCCTGTTTGAAGGCTTGGCTTCCTCATCTGTCTAGTGAAATCAGTAAAACCTGCTCTGACAAACCCAGTGTATTCCATGCAGGAGGAGCCCTGAGTGTGTGGCATCATGAGACAGGTGGCTACCGTTACAAAGCCACAGCTGGGAACCGGGCAGACGTCTTCAGACTCGAATACCTGAAAAAAGACCAAGGGGCAGAGCCTGAGGTCCAGCCTTCCCAGAAGGCACCCCCGGCCCCCAGCAACGTTCCTGTGAGGGTCATCTTATCCATCTCTCTGCCTCCTCCAGGTCCACCAAGGCCCTTACCCTGCCTCAGAGAGTCCCCAGGCTGCAGGGGTCCACAGCCTCCAACAGACACAGGGCCCAAGGTAGTAGCCCCCAATTCAGCCGGCTCAAGCTCAGGATCACTAGATTCTCACTGGGAGGAGAAGGAGGGGACATGAGCTGGGTGGGATAAACTTTGAAAGTGTTCTGGAGGAGCGGCTGAGCCAGACAAGTGGGGACACGGCAGGGACAGAACCCATCGCTCAGCAGCCAAAGGCACAGGACTCTGACGGGACACAGAGCAGGGTCAAGTCCCCTCCACCTCTTGCTGTGTCTGATGGAGCCATTACGTAAGTTTTCTGAGCTTTCTTCCTACTCTGGCAAAGGGAGTCTCAGAACCTAACAAAGGGGCTCTTGCGGTCACTATCAGTACTTGTCCCCGGCTCCCCAAGGCTGGGAGGCGGTCAGCAATGAAGGATAGAAGAAAGACTACCAGGTTGAGATGGGGGGCTTCTGGGGCACCTTCTGTGTCTGGAGGATGCACATGTATGTGGGGGACAATGAGGAGGCCCCAAGGCCTGCCCTAGGCCAGGCCTGGCCTCCTCAGCTCCTGAAATTGTCCCCTGCATCTCACATTTGGCTAGGAGAGTCTCCCCTCTAGTGGGAATAAGCTTGGCAAGATTTTCCTTCTCCCTAATTGCTCTCCTGTCAGAGTTGGGGGCAGCACTCTAGACTTTACCCTCCCTCTGGGGCTCACAAGTTCCCTGGGCCATTTGCCATTAAAGACACACTTTCTTCCTCATGACCCAAGGCCAGCCAGGGAAGAAGCAGCCCCTGTGAGGATGTATTCAAAGGAATCCTCCAGCCTCCTCTGAGGGCTGGGCCACCCTTTTGTCACCACCTCACACCCATCCACCTACCCTTCTCACACACACTAACATCTGGGTCTCTTAGAAATCATTAACTCTGGGAGAGGTGCTGGCCCTTTAAGTTGTCCTGGGAAGAGATGACAAAATCACCCCCACTGGACTTTGTGCCTGAAGCTGGCGGCAAACAAGGCCTGGGAGCTTGTGAGAGCTGCCCGGGCAGGCCAAGGTAGGAGGCCCTGCCCAGGCAGCACCTCCACAGAGCGGGCTCTTCCCACTTTCCACCTCTGATGGGCTGGCCCTGTGCGGGAAGATCGGCTCTCGGCTGTGCCCAGCGGGGTCCAGGAGCATGCTCCCTGACGGGCATCCTCCCTGCCTGGTTGTTAGACTTTGTTCACATCCCTCCTCTTTCCAACAAGTGTCTCATTCTGGACCACTCTTGCAATGTCCATCTGTATCTATGTGAGGAGGGGGGACCCTGGTACAGACCAGTCCAGCTGTGCCCAGGATCCAGTCAGAGCCCAAGGTGCTCACCCAGCAAAAAAGGTGCTGGCTAGGGGGCCACAGGAATAGCAGATCGGTGGGAGAGAGCACAGGGCAGGAGTCAGGACCCCTGGGTCCATGCAGGGCCTCCAGAGCACCTAGGCCCATCTCTGAGCCCAGCCTATCCACCTGGGGTGTGACAGGCCCCCTCATGGCCAGCTAGCATCTGCAGCCCTCCGGTCGTGGTGATGGAGCAGGGGTACAGCTGCAGGCAATGGTCGCCCTCTCCCCCCTCCCTGTGAGCACATCTGGGGCTAACATCAGGCATCTCTCAGGCTAAGTGAAATGGGCACAAACTCTTAAATACCTCACACCCCAAGGGGGGCTGTGTAAGAGTCTCTGAGGTGCCCCCATCTAGAGTGGGCTTTCTCGGACTGCCCCAATCTTTGGTTTCAGTGTTGACAGTTGCTCTGTTAAGTACCCACCTCCCTGATGGTTGGTGACTTACCTGAGGCCAGAACCTGTATCCTGCCAACCCAGAGCCAGAGTGAGCCCAGGGCCTGGAGTGCCAAAGGCACACAGCAAATGTCTTTTGGGTGAATAAATGAATGAGCATCAGTGGTTTTAAATTATCAGCGCTGCACACAGTAGGAAGCCCCAAATCCGAGGTATCATGGACTAGTCCAGGCAAGGGTAAGCCCAAGTTCTTTCACAAGAAGTAGGTGACCTTCAGAAACCATCTGACCTTCCTCGTTTTGTTTTGGCCCAGATCCCATAGGCTAATTAGTTGGTGAGCATCCATTTATGGAGCTGCTGTGTGCAGGGCATTGGGTAGGGTGTCAGAGGATCACAGGAGAGAACTAGAAGACACAGACTCCCTGCTTTGCTTATGGTGGAATGTACTCATCTGGAATCAATCTGAGACCAATAGCAAGAAAAAATCAGGACAGGATGGACAGATCAAAGGTAGGAATGGGAAGATACAAGGAACAAGGTGCAAGTTATCTCAGGAGGTTCCCAGAGAAGGTATGCTCTGATCTATAGACTCAGGACATGAATCCCATCCACCCATTCATTGAAATAAATATTAAAATCCAGGCCAAGAGAATACAGCAGTAAACAGTTACAACCCTTCCCTTGACTTGCCTACAGCCTCTCTGAGGGCCAGCGTCTAAATTCAGGTGACCATGGTATCGGAGATAAGACCTGATAGATATCGTCCACATGCCAGAAGCTGGAGGAATGGAGAATAACTCAGCAGGGCCAATCTTGAAAGAATTCTCCAAAATCTACCCAAGGATCTGCGCTTCTACAGGAGCAGCAGATACAGGTAGCCAGAGAGGAGGCAGGAGGAGTGGGCAGGTATCCGACAGGTAAACAAGGTTAATGGTGACCTGTTGTTTTTCCAGGTTCTTGGTGACCTCACCTTTGACCAACAATTTCCTGGCACTGGCTCACTCTGCCAAGGGGGAGGAGAGGGGGAGGAAGAAGAGGGTAAACAGGAGGTAGGGCCAAAGGTGGACCTAGAAGGCAAGGGGCACATTCCAAAAAGTCTCCCCAGGCTGAGGCCTGCAGCAGAGCCCAAAGTCCAATAGGAAACCCACACCTGTGTTCCAGCCATCGAAAATACCATAAATTCTTGATTACCTACCAATTATCCACCAGAAAGGATGCTTTGGGCTGCCTGGAACAGCTTCCCTGTCCCCAATCTGCAGCCCAGCTTGCCGCCCCCCCACTCCAGCTCCCCAGGTGCCCCCTGTGCAGAGGCCTGGACTGGCTGGAGGGAGCTGAGGAGTTCCACCTGGGCATGACCACCTCCTCCTCTTTTCCAATAGCATTAACAGCTCTTAGGAGATGCTCCCCCACTCCACAGCCCTCAGCCCAGACGGTCCTGAGAACAAGGCCTTGCTAGTTTGCCATCCTGTGGCACTGCAAGAGGAAGCCCTGAAACTCCTCAGCCAGAAGTCAGGTTCCTGGCTCACTCTGCCACCCACAGACTGGGTGACCTTAGGCCAGTCAACAAACCTCAGTTTTACCATCTGTGCAATAGACATGTACAAGAGGAACATGCCCAGAGCTTTTAAAAGGAGATCATGTAGATGGAATAAGTTGGGCCTAATTTTTCTAAATGCTGGGTGTTATTAGAGATCACCCAAGCTTTTAATTTTACTGATGAGGAAACTAAAGTTCAGAAGATTCAGGAACTCTCTCTCCTCACCTACCTCCTGCGCCTCCTGTGACTTATCTTCTTAGCTCAGTCTGGCCTCATGAATATGGGTCCCTGAGCTTTGGGGGACACAGGTCACTTTGAGAATCTGGCAAAACCCAAGGACCTCTCTCCCTCAAACACATTCACCTGCATACCCCAGTGGGGGTCCATGTGTCCCAGATTGGGGAATCTTGTTCTATGTCATTGCAGAAATGGGAGAGGCTATCACAGCCCCAAGGAAGCAGAAAGTGGTCACAAGGAAAGCCTGAATTTCTAAAAGCAAACCTCATTTAGAGTCCCCAAAGCCCAGTCTTAAGCCCCTGAGAAGTAAGTCCATGTGACCCCCCCCCAACTCCTCATTTCTCTGTCCTTTCCCCCCACTTATCATCTTTCAATCCATCTAAACCCCTCGCCTACAGCTTTCTCCTGAACTGGCGATTTCCGTTCTGGTCTTCGGAAGTCAAACAGAATCTCGGAGACCATCTGTACAGACCTCTTTATCTCTGCAGATGAGAACTGTAAGCAACCAAAGGTATGCTGACTCGTGGAGGTCTCCCAGATAACCAGGACAGAAGTCAGCCTGCACAAACCAGCTCAGCCCCACGCGAGCATGCTGAGGACCTACTGTGTGATCCGTGCCCAGCTGGCAGGGAAGGGCCACCAAGAACCCATGAGCTATCACTAGATTGGCTGAGCACATCTAAAATCCTTGGAATGAAAGTGCAAACAGGGCCACCGTGCTCCTGATTGTGTAAGAGAGGTTGCAAAATCTCTAGAAGTTCAGCAAAGGCAGAGCCGATCATTCATTCACTCATTCATTCATTCAACAAATATTTATTGAACTTCAAGCACTAAGCAATAAGATAATCACCCAGACAAGCTTCCTGCCCTCCTGAAATCCTGGAGAGGGAGAAAGAGTCTCTAAACAAATGAATGGAATTTAGCTAAAGATAAATAGTATGGGGAAAATAAAAAGGGAGAATTGCAAGCCACTTGGAGATGTCACTCTTGTTGGTTGGGGGAATCAAGAGGTGACATTTGAATTGAGTCCTAAAAGGTGAGAAAAGGCATCCATGCAAAGGTGAGGAGGTAGAATGTTCCTGAAGGAGGGAACAGAAAGTGCAAAGTCCCTAAGGCAGACATAAAATTGATTGGTTCAAGGAAGGGAGAGATCCGTGTATGAGGCCTTCTGGGAGGCTAGAGCGAGGGTTGCTGACCAGGCCTCGGGCAGGAGAGAAAGACAGGCTTCACACGGCATGAGGGGAGGGTGAGGCGGTCAGGAATCAGGGTGGTGTCAAAGCCTGTCCAGGTTACTGGGAGGAGCAAGAATCATAGAGGCCAGAGGGTCACCGGGGAGCCCCCAAGCCCAGGCCATGAAGTTGAAAGAGGAGAAAGAGCGATGGAAATATTTTCAAAGCAGAATTGTTGATGGCTTTGCATGTGGGGGTTGAGGCAAAAGGAGTGACCCCATATGAATGCCCAGTGCTGGTCTCTGACTGCCAGAGAGGTGGCAGAGCCATTGACAGACTAAGGGAAGCCGCAGGTTCACCTGGGAAGCCAAGGCCATTTGTGTATCCGGGGGAAAGCTCAGTACCCTTTGCTCACAAAACCTGTCCCCTCTGAAGGGACCATAAAACAGTGTGTCTTCTTGACAACAGAAGGAAGAGCCACTTAAAGATTTTGAAGGAGGCCCTGAAGGAGGGTGGGGGAACCCAGCTCTCAAAACATCCCAAGTGTCCAAAATGTGACAATCCCAAGTAAAATCCCCCAACGGCTTTCGTGGGCCATGTGGCAGGGGAGCAGGCCCAGGGTGCCTGTCACCGGGTGGTGGTTCTACGATTCGTGGGGTCCCTCCTGTCCCATCTCTATGTTATGGGGAGAGTGGCCATTGGATGTTGGTGTGGTTCTTTTTTTACGAGTCAAGAGTTCCTTTTTATTGGAGGAAAGTCCCATCTGGAATCATCTACAAAACCACCCTCTCCGCACCACACTCTGTGGGGGTCATGGGCATTGGGCACTGGGCACGGCAGCTGGCACACCCACTGGCACCTGCAATTACAGGGTGACACTGACCATCTGCCCTGTGTCTGTTGGTGTAAACTCCAGGGGAAATGCAGCTGAGGCCTGTCTCCAGGGATTCTGGTTGAGCAAACCCAGACTCCCTCCAGCTCTGGGGCCTACGGATCTCACCAGACTCCAAGACCTAGGCTTTGGGCCTCCACCAGCCTCAATCTCAGCCCCAGCCTCAGCCCTGCCTTTATCCTGCACCTCTCCTGACCACTGCCATATTCTCCCTCTTTTTTCTCCCCATCCTGGCTCCTCTGTTTGGTCCTTTCTTACTTCTGACTGGAAAAGGACTCAACTTTTTCCTCCTCGCTGGCCTGTTCTTGGTGCTGTCTTCCCTGACATCTGCCCCACGTCCCTTCCACCGACACAACAAAGTACCTTCTCTGAGCCAAACAAGTGCTGGGGGCACACCTGTGAGCGAGACACACGTGATCCCAGGTCTCAGGGACCTGTCACTGCAGCTGGGGATTCAGCTCATAAACGGGGAGTGGACGGGTGAGTGGAGAGCCGGCAGGCGGTGGAGGCAGAGACAGAAAAGACCGTCCAACAGCAGCGACAGGTGCCATTTCACTGCTCGGCTTCCAGAGTACCCACCGCCAGGGGCTGTCCCAGGGACACATCAGTGAGCAGCAAGGACACCAACACGGTTCAACTTGCTGTCCAGACGAGACACCCACAGAGGACAAATCAGTCCATTTTGAAAAGTGACAATAGGAGAAGGTGATGTGTTCAGAAGAAAAAGATAAAATGGTATAAAGTAAAAGGGATGGAAATTGGGGCAAGAATACTATCACCATAAAAAGGATGCTCAGGGCAGGCTGCACCTAGGCGATGTGTAAGCAAAGACTTGAAGAAGATGAGAGAGTGAGTCCTGCAGATATCTGGAGACAGAACATTCCAGGCCAAAGGGAAAGGTTGTAGAAAGACCCTGGGGCAGGAGCAGGCAGGCTAGGTTGGAGTCAGAACATTCCAGGTGGAGGGGAGAGGCTGTGCAAAGACCCTGGGGCAGGAGCATGCAGGCTGTGTTGGAATCAGAGAATCACAGATCCAAGTGAAAGGTATGCAGAGATTCTGGGGCAGGCGCCTGCCGACTGTGTTTAAAGAAAACACTTGTTTTTTTTTTTTTTTTTTTTTTTTTTTTTTCCTGGAAAGAGATCATGTCGGACCTTGAAAGCCATTGGAAGAACTTTGGCTTTGAAGCTGGGCACAGCGGAACATGCCTGTAATCCCAGCAGCTTGGGAGGCTGAGGCAGGAGGATCTTGAACCTTAGTAACTTAGGGAGGCCCTAAGCAACTCAGCAAGACCCTGCCTCTAAATAAAACATAAAAAGGGCTGGGGATGTGGCTCAGTAGTAAAGCACCCTGGTTTCAATCCCTGGTACCCCCCACAAAATAATTTTGCCGGCCATTGAATCCCACCTCCCAGTCTCTATCCCTCGCCCCCTCATCCTTCCTCCCTCCCCATCTCCCTCCTTTCCCTTCCCTCTCCTTCAGCCTCAGTTCACATAAGGCCCTGCAGGGACACGCGCCGCGGGCTCCTCACCCCTGTGGTCAGGAGGGCCGCAGATTACAGTGTCTGGGTTGCT